CAGAGAAAACAGCCACCGACAGCTTTGCCAGCAGGTTAGCAGACAAAATTGTTCTGCTCGAGCTGCTTCCAAATGCCGCTGTTTTTCAAGGAGGATTGATGATTATGCGAGGAAAAATGTATCGCGAATAGAATAATTCTCTTTTTCCAATGAGCATGGGCTAGGAGGAAATCCAGTCACTTATCATCGCTATCTCCCAATTGTCTAACGCTGCTACCATGGGAAATGCATACTCATCCAATACTAGCCGGTCTTAGCGGGTATTCGCTAAAAGGCGTCTATTACTCTTGAGGCATATATCGGATTTCATTATTTTTGGAAGTTTTAAAACAATCACGTTAATTTTTTTTTTTTTTTTGATTACGAAAGAGTGTGAATACTGTAAGTCAGCTGAAGAGAGTGCTAAACGAAATACGCACAGCCAGGATTTCCAGCCGAATTATATGAGCTGCAGGGAAGAAAACCGAGGAGGCAAAAATCAGGATCATCAGCCTGCTAAGAATTAACTTCGATTCAACAAATGTAAGGGATAGTAAGTCGCATCGTTGGGACAAAATGGCAAAAACTGGCTAACAAGAGCATCAAATTCAGACTTTTTTCTCTGGGCGTAATATTGTTTTCGCTTGCTGTGAGTCGCTTCTCGATATCTTTGAGCAAACATGCACCAAGTCGCACCACTTGCGCGTAATTATTATTTGTATAGGCCACGGCCATCATTGGCAGATACAAGCGCAGCAGCCAACTGGAGCAGCTCGAATGATTGGTCTTGAAAAACTGCTGAGAAACCTGAAATAAAGTTTCAAAATTCACTGCAGCTCATATAAAAGTTATCCAAACTACTTACCTTTACAGTCCTAGGAAGGGGGAAACACAGACAGAGCCTTGACAGTGGTGGGCGATTGCTAATGGCAAAGTGCTACCATTCGGGCCACTCCTAAACTTCTTCGCTGCGACAAAAAAATCCACGCAGGGGCTAAAAAAAACCACAAATTTCAAAACCGAGAAACGGCACAAGACAAAGCAAAGTTTCATAAATATGAAAGGCTTTTTTCCCCGGATATATAATGAAAAGCAAAAAAGGACAAGAAGGAATAATTGGCCAACGCACGGCCTGCCCGTGCGAAGATGCGTTTTTTGCACAGTTCCCCGCAATTTTTATTGCTACCGCCACCGGCTTTTTCGGCAAATGCTTCTAGCTAAACAAATTAAAACTGGCCGGCAGAACTGTCAGAAAACACTCCCCTTGAAATTTCAGCTTCCCAGCTTCCCTGGCTCCTGAATTAGCAACTTACTGGAAAAAAATTTTCATGGGCCCGTGCGAGTTTAACATGCATACTCGAGAGTTAGGTTTGAGCTGAATGAAACTTAGGTGTACGGGGTATATCCTTTTAAAATTACAGTCCTTTAGCTTCTGAGGTACTCGAGTTACCAGCTTGTCCGAAAAAAATTTTGGCGGGCTTGTACGCGGGTGCCACACTTACCCGGGGGCAGGGTTTGAGCTCACTAATACCCAGTTGGACGAAGAACATCCTCCTAAGATTTCAGCGTTCCAGCTTTTCAGATTCCCAAGTTATGAACTTACCCGAAAAAACTTTGGCGGGCTCGTACGCAAGCACCACACTTATCCGGGGGCTGGGTTTGAGCTCACTAACACTTAGTTGGACGGGAAACATCCTCCTAAGATTTCAGCGTTCTAGCTTCTCAGATCCCCGAGTTATGAACTTACCCGAAAAAAATTTTGGCGGGCCCGTAAGCGGGTATCACGCGGGTAATGGCGCCAATTTTGGGGATGAGGGGCGTACGTGCATGTAGATTAAGTTCCCAAAGTTTCAGCCCTGTAGCTTTTGTAGGTTTTGAGATGCAAAACCGTGAGAGAAGCACACACGGACACACAGACAACCCCTCGTCAATATGCGTTTTTCGCATTGCGTAGCTGCAAAAAACGCATAAGAACTAAAGTGCGAAGGGAGGGAGAACTAGTGGGGCAAAAGATGTAAAAAGGGTAACTCATATTAATGATTTTTTCATCAGTGGTGCAAAAACGCAAGAGTAACGCATATTTGTGTTTTAAAAATATGAATGAACAAACAGATGCAGTAAAATCATGTGTCCGTAGAATCTTCACATGATTCCTAAGATCGGCCATTTACTGAAAAATACTTACACGCCGAATGTTACTCTACTACATCTCTAGTTACTAAATAATTAACTAGCCTGAGAAACATCTGAAAGCGGAAAGACGGCCCCATCCAGCGCATAATGAATCAATTTGTCCAGCATCTCAATTGTATTCAGAAGGGCACGAACACGCCACCACTGCTCCGAACTTGTTAGCTGACGTGGCTCACGTTCCATGTCAACCTCTGTTGTTTCATCGTCTTCTTCCGCACCTCCTGTACCACTTGAAACTGTTTCCGTTCTCTTTCGCGCATTCTCTTTCTCGCTTTTATTGGCATTTAGCGCTTTTCGACAAAGCGCATTACTTGCCAGACGT